TTTACTTGACCTAAAACCAAGTGTCATGGGCCAGGCGGTCCTTCCCGTGTGAGAAACGTTTTCTCTTTGTTTCCCACGTGATAAGACCGCCTGGTACTAACTCTTTCCTTTGAAATTTTTTCAGCTACCAACCCAGACGTTCCCATGGACGATAGTCGCGTGCTCGCTGCTGGTGGAGTGGGTAAGAGTAAAAAGGCTAAAAAGAATAGCCAATCCAAACCTGTTGCTGCCGCTACCCAGAATGATGAGCAGCCTCAGCCTGTTCAGGAGGTTCACCCCATTCAGCAGGCTCACCTGGGGCAGTCTGACATTGATGACATGCTGATGGATAACCCGTTCGGGTCAGAGCAGATGCATCCTTTCTCTGAACACTTTCAGGCTGTTCATGAGATGAATATGGAGACCGATCAGGTCAATACTGTCACTATTATGGGGCACATCAATCGGATTTCTCAAAAGGACCCAGTTCATGAGATCTTGGAGAGGGGCGGTTCTTCTGTGAGCCAGATCTAGTCTACCTCTGCCTTCTTCAATAATTTCCCGCTCCCCGATCTTCCTGTCGATCGGGTGGAGGAGTGTGTTGCCTTAACGGCTCTGAAGGTATTTTACTTCCTATACTTCCATTTGTTCCTTTTGTGAACTGATGATTTTTTCTCATCTCGTCTTTTTTGAACGACTTGTAGATGGGGCTGTACAGCTTGCAACTGCGGGAATCCCGTCTGACCAAGGAACGAGATCTGATCGTGGCTCGGGCTAACGCGGAAAAAGAGGCTGCCACTGTCCTCCGGGCTTCTGAGTCCGATCGGAAAGCCTCTGCTGAAGAAAGGCAAAGGCTCAAGATTGAGCTTGGTGAGCTCCGGGTTCAGCTTGCTACTTCCCAGGCCAAGGTAGCTGCCACGGAGCTCGCTCAGGTGGTATTTGTAGAGATGGCCCCCTGCATTCCAGATGGCCCTTCCGTAGTCAAGGCAGATCTCTCCGCCGTCCGAGATGCGTTCAAACCCTTTGATGAGTTTGGCGTCATCAAGGAGGAGTACGCCATGCAGCACCTCCCAGCGCGCTGTATTTGAGGCTCATCTTGGGAAGTTCCCCCGGGGTGCCGAACGACGTTAAGGCTGGAGTGGATCTTCTCGACAAGGACCCCCGGGGCAAGCGTTGGAACAATTCCTTGGCCGCGGATCTCTACGTTAAGGGCTGCCAGCATATCTTCCAGCCTTTTGTGGCCCAGTTACAACAACAGCTCGGGAGACCAGTCAAGGCTTCCGATCTTCCACAGGTTGACATCGTCACAGCTCAGTTCGAGAAGTACGAACGCGATATGAAACGGGCTGCTGATCGGGAGCCGCGAGGCTGGGAAGGAGCCTAAGTCCCCCTCTGAATCAGAAGATGACGAGGATAACAATGAGGAGGCCCTCGGCCAGTAGATCAGTCTATGTTTTTCCTCTAATCGTTGTAACTTTTTTGCTTAGAACTTAAGACCATTGTTCTTTCCGGCCGGTAGAGCCGATGAATACAAATGACATCTTTTTGCCCAACTACTATCATTATTTTATTTCCTTCATTTTTCACTTTTCCCTTCGGGATTCAGTCAATTTCATATGGCAGCCTTTTTTCTTCCTCTTTTACTGCTTTGCAATCTTCCCCATTTGGGATATTTTGTAGTTTAAGCATGGCTAGAAACGGCATCTCCCAAGGCTCATCGTATCCTGTTCGGGAAGACTACCTGGTCCTTCCGCGGCCCTCTTCCTGATCCCATCCTATGTAGTCATGAAGGCACGCGTCGATCTCTGCTCGGGATGTCCATCGCTACCATTGGTACGTTCGTCGTTCGGTCCATCTTGGGTCGTGAACTAGGAGATGTCATGATTGCTCGCAACCACCTTCTGCCACGTGTCCCTTACGGATTCAAGTTTTGGGCGGCACTTTCATCTATAAGAAGAGAGGTGCTTCCTTCTCATTTTTTCTGTTGCTTCAATCTTTTCTAATTTCTCTTAAGCTTTCTCTCTCTAGGATTCTTAGGTCCTTCTGAAGGCATTTAGTTCCTTCCTTCTGAAGGCTTTCTCTCTCTAAGAATGTCAAAATTTTCATTGAATCTGACATAAATATTGCATTCATATGGCATGTGGCATTTTTCCCCCGGTCTCTCTAAGAATGTCAAAATTTTCATTGAATCTGACATAAATATTGCATTGATATGGCATGTGGCATTTTCCCCCCGGTGACCGGGGGTGGTGGTGCTGGGGTGGCATAGGCAGCGGTGATTTGTTTTTTTACGTTTTTTATTTTTTAAAAAAATATATAATTTTTTTTAAATAAAGATTATTTTTTAAAAATAAATAAATTATTGTTTTGTACATATATTTTTATTAATTTTTTATTATTTTTTATGATTTATTTTATTTTATTTTATTATGAATTAAAATATTTCAATAGTTACAAGGGTATATTTGTCAAAAACACATAATTAGTCCTACTGGTGAGTTAAAAAACAATGTGGTCCTATTTGTGATTAAAGACTACTTTTTACTCCTATTTGAGTAATTAACCCTATGGACTAATTCTCCTATCGGGACTGACCTTTTAGGATCTTAACAAGTTTCAATTCTTAGGAATTATTGAAGCTTTATTCATTCCTAAACCGTTTGATGTTTAGGCTCTCTTTGGCAGGGGCGGCCTAGGGGTCATATGCCCAAAAAATGCATGAAAGAAATTAGACTCAGGTTTAGTTCTTTATAATAGATGTGAGTAGACTGATTTTTCAACCCTAAATGAATTTTTTTTTGTGAAATTTTTTGAGGTGTTTCTGGTGGATTTTTTTTGATGAAAACTTATGAGCATGTTCGTTATGTCAAAAACAGGGACCTAATGTTGCAGTAATCTCATATGACCAAAATGGAATCAATAATTTAATTAGTCGCAAACATGTAACCTTATTACTATCTTTATCCCAAATTGATTTGCAAAATTGATTTTTTTGTCAAACAGTGTCATTTTATTAACTTAAGTAAGATGTCAATTTGTAATTACATTCTAATTTGAAGAGATTTTAATGTAGTTTCCGAATATGTAACTTTTAATTATTAAAAATTGAATTAATAGTCCATATGGAAATTTAACTTTAACATTGGCTGACCAAAAAATGTTGACTTTGCAAATAAGGATTATTAAGGATCATGAATTTTGTTTTTTTGGGAATAAGTCATGGAGTCTTTGTTCTCATTAATCACAGTTTAACTATATTCTATTATTGCAGGACCATCGTAAATTTAGCCAACGGTACTATGAGTTTCTTGACCACTTTCGTGTTCCCGATGGACCAATCTTCTTGAAAATATGTGGGGAATCTGAATGTAATGGGATATCTAATGACTACATCAGTGTATGCTTTCATAACTTGCCCTCTTGACCCTTGGCTTGAGAATCTATTTTTCTGATTAAAAATCGTATGCATCCCATTTTATTCTCTGTTAGGTCATGCGTATGCTTAATCTAGATATGATTTGGTAATTACTACTCATAATAAATCTCACCTGCTGGACATGAATATAAGCTGGTTTAAGCATCTCATGGAATAAAAACTTTCTCAGTCATGGCATTGGAAAAGTAGATTTAGTCCCAGTCTCATGTGGATTAATTTGGTCAATTGTTCAGTATTATTAGATGTTAGGGGAAAAGACTTCAATAAGACCAAAACATGAGCCGCGGAAGTAAATAGGACTTCAATCTTTTTAACCTCTAAATAGGACTAATTCTATATGGGACGGACAAAAATAACATCCCCTCAAAAACATAGCAGCCAGCTACTTGCTGCAATCGGATAGATCTTACGAAGCTAGCGGGTTGAACACTTGAACCAGAGCGTTTCACGATCTCCAGAATCGGTGAGATCTGACCGGCGACAGGCGGCGCACAACTACATCGTCAAATAAAGCCAAAGCCTATTGGTCGCAATCAGCCAACGATGTCTCCTCAGCTCCTCCTTATCTCCTTCTTTTCTTCTTCGACTCTTCGTTCTGTTGGGAGGGTGATTTGATTTCCATCGTGGTTTTTACTTTATAGGCACCGTTCTGTCCTCTCCTTTATTTCACTACTACTCGTAATTTTTTTATCCAATTTCATCAAATTGGAACTGCGGCTATTTGGTAGGTTTATTTTTATGTTAATTAATCTCTACTTTTTATTATTCTTTATTAGATTCGTTTTAAAAATTAATTCTTATAATATTGGCCTTGGGCGGTTAGCAGGTCATCGGACATTGGACATATTTTGTTACAAAAAATTACTTTTTTGTTTTGACATTGATGATAAGTAATCTCAAAATTGTGGCATTTTTACATTGATTTACTCGAAGTGTTGTTTTCAATTGATTTATACGAAATATTAAATTTATTGCATTGACATTGTCTTCAAAAATGTCATTTTTATGGCATTGGTATTGTCATGACGGTCATTGACGCCATTGACTTTTGATAAATTATTAATTTTTTTTTTTTGACATTGTGACATTTTTTCAATATGATAATACTTTATATATAACATTGTTACATTTTATAAAATGTGATAATGATTGTAATATTGGCATAATGACATTATAAAAATGACAATGTCAATGATTTAAAATATGACATTGTAAAAATGACAATGTCAATTTCAATGTCATAGGAATGACATTGTGACATTGTCAAGAAGTGACATTGTTTTCGATGATGACATTGAGATATGTTGTGACAATATCATATCATTATAAAAATTTACTCCGTACAATGTTAGAAACTGTCAAAATGTCATAAAATATCACAATGTCAAATGACATTGTGATTATGACAATGTCAATTCTAATGCTATAAAACTGACAATGTCATTGTTAAGAAGTGACATTATTTTCGTTGGTGACATTGAGATATGTGACAATATTGTATCATTATAAAAATTTACAATGTTAGAAGTTGTCAAATTGTCAAAAATGATATTGTATTAATGTTAATGATATAAAAATGATCATTGTTAAAAATAATGACAATAATATACAAATGACATTGTTTGTTTTCTTCACACACTTATTTATTATTAACAACACAATATATTGTTGATACCATTATTTGAATAAAACGAAAAGGAGAAAAGCAGACATCAAAAGTAGACAACAAACATCGAGAATATTATCCGAAATAAGATTAAAAATGTTTGAAAATTTCAAAATATGATTGTTATGTTTTTATTCCCAAAATAAGACTAATTACTGTCATGTTTTGGCAGTACCAGACTTCAAACATTGCAGTATTTTCTAAACTTGATAATAATTACTCTTATTTTGGGAATAAAAAATATGACAGCCCTATTTTAAAATTTTCATATTTTAGTCCTATTTTGGAACTCTTCCCAAAAGATTACGAAGCCAACAAAATAAAGATGAAAACAAATCTGCCAAACAAAATCAAGAAGAAAGGGATCTGCCAAACAAAATCAAGTAGAAGACGGAGAAAGAGAATTGCTACAGAAGAAAAGAAGAGGAGATAAGAAAGAGAGGAGGAGAGGAGGAGAGGAGGAAAAGGAGCGGATCTGCAAGATCTTCTTCAGGGCCTCTCGGCGCACCGCCGCACCACCGGAACGCTGCAACGCCGCATCTTCTCGATCTGTCTTGCCACATCTACAACGCCACTATAGCTCAACTCCTCCATTAATTTGTACGTCGCTGGACCTTGAAGCTTGAAGCTGCCCTGCTTAGCTATGGATGAAGGAGAGAGAGGGTTTGGTGAGGTTATTGGGGAGAAATAAGGTTTGGCGTGAGTGGAAAACTTAAGCATAGAAACCAAGGGCAATTTTGGAAACACGGAGAAAATTGAGTTAAAAAAGTCAAACTCTTATTTAATTACATGTAAACTTAAAGATCATATTTAGCACATTTTCTCACTCAAGCTATTTAATTACACGTTATTCCTATTTTATACGGAGTATCATGATTTGTAGTTCAGTAGTTAGGGATAATTTCTTACTCATGTAATGACATACAGGTTCTGGCTAAGAAGTATGGAGCGGCTGTTGTTTCCCTTGAACATCGGTATTATGGAAAGAGTTCACCATTTAAATCATTGACGACAGAGAACCTAAAATATCTTTCATCAAAGCAGGCACTTTTTGACCTTGCTGCTTTCCGTCAACATTATCAGGTATCTTGTTCTATTGTACTATTGTTGCTTGTTGTTAGTCGACTTTTAGAAGATTAAAGTCGTTTGTAAAACCGACTAACAAATGAATCAAACTATTACAAACTGGCAAAGTCTTTAGTTTGGAATGTCTAATACGAGAAACGTTTTGGACCAATGCAAGCAAATCCTTAAGTCATTCAAACTTGTGGTGAACTAAGCAAGAAAGGATTCTATTGATGCTTTTAATTGGACTGTAATTTTATGGTCTGGTCTATATTGGTCTGGTCTGTTTATGTTTGGTCTGGTCTCCACTTTTCTGGTAGATGTGTGGTGTATTTGTATTTTGTAACTGACGTCAATCTTGTCTGATTTGGTCTGGTCTTTTTACGTTAGATCTTTTTTAGTTTGGTATGGGGCAAATAAAAACATCCTAAACAAGTGATGCTAAAAAAGATTTTGATGTTTGTTTATGAGTTGGCAAAATCAAAATGCCAAGGAAATTACTATAGCTCTAAAACGCTAAGAAAAAGTTAGGACTTGGATTCATTGTTATCTCTCTTCGGTGCTCAAACAAAGATAAAAAGAGAGGATTTCTTCCCTTAAATTCAAGATGAGGACCTAAACTTTACTAATTTTTAATTCCTCACTAATCCTCAAAGGCTTCTCTAGTCCTTCCCAAATGCGATGTATTCTTGTGCCTAGTTAAACATGAACCCTTTCTCCGTAGTCTCCTTCCTAACATAAAAATAACCAATATTTAATCAATAAATCACCCAAGATCGCATGGAAATGCCGTAGAAAATGAGGAAAGTGATAAATGAAGTGGTCCGATAGGCGTTTTTACACCAATACACTTCATGCATTTTGTATTTCTGTTAAGGCACTCAACTAGATGTGCAGCATTGCAATGCTAATCATTTATAGAAAACAGGTTAGATTACATTCAGATCTTGTATATACATAGTATTTAGGTTATGTTTGGCAGAACGAGCGGAAGCTGAAGACTTTTGTCTGAATTGAGGGCTATTGTCTGAATCCGAGACTATTGTCTGGAACTGAACTTTAAAGTGCTGAATCTGAACTCTTAGCTGCATGAAGTACACATGTTTGGCAAAAAGAGCTGAAAATTGTCCAACTAATATGAAATTTCATTAAAGGGTATATGTTAATTAACACAATAAATATTTATTATAATGCTTTTATAATTTAATAAATATTGAGATTGTAATACATGTTTATATGTATGTATATTCATATAAAATATAGTGCATTATATACAAAAAAAATTAAAACGCTTCAGTATATGAAACAACAAAAAATACTACGTATTAAAATTTGGTCATAGCATGCTCCACTAATTCAAGCCATCCATGAGGAGATGGTTCTATTGGGTGCAGTTCATCAAACGTGAGAGTTTGAAAAGGTGCAAACAGATAAGAAATCTATTGCTCCCCGGAAGAAAGATTAAAATTTGCTGATTCTTAGAAATATAACTTTGGAATCCGCAAAAAAATGTAACTTGGAGAAAAGAAAGAGAGAGCCGATGGAGTATCTCGCTGAACTTGAACAGGGATATATTGGGAATTGCAAGTCTGAAACTATGCGGCTGAGTGTAAACGTTACCTTCCTCAACGTTGGAGTTCAGCCCTATTATTTGAGATCAAGCCCAGTTCAGCCCTCCTAACAAACAGGTCTACTTTAATCAAAATTGACTGAATTTTAAAGATTTCAGCCTTTTTTTGGCTGAACTGGCATGCCAAACATAGCCTTAGATTTTTCCAACTTTAGATGCATGTGGATGATTTTTTGAAGAATTAATTCCACTTTTGGTCCTACGAGTTTTGTGCCAATTCCACCTTTAGTCTTTTTAACCTTTTGTGATCCTTTTCCGGCAATTGCGAGCATCGGAATTCGGAAACAATGCCGGAAGGACCACATATGGGCGAAAACCCAATAGTCATGTATCAAAAGTGGACAAAGTGAAAGATATGGACTAAATGTGTAATTGACCTAAAACTCGCAGGACCAAAAGTGGAATTTTTTCATTTTTTGAATGCTAACATGTTGTCACGTTATCACATTATTTGTTTTTGTCATGCCCCCTAATCATTCTCTTTGCAAAACCTTCATTGATGGAGTAACTTGATGCAAGAAGTTCTAATCAGATCTGACATAACTTGAACTAGGTCATAACATGATCAAGGTTGTCAAAGGCGTAAAGCGCACCTGAAGCGCTAGGAGTCTTCCAGCGCTTGAGGCGCAGAGCGCAAAAAAGCGCTCGCTTGACTCGGGTGAAGCGCATTACTTATATAAAGTCACATATACTATTCTATAAATACCAAATACTATTTAGGATCTTTTTTGTTAACTAAGTAGTTGTGTTTCCAAGCTGGGTCATTTTTTGTAGAGTTTTCACTTTCAGCACCACCCACAGAACTTGTTCCACCTTCCATATCCTAGAAAAGATCAAAGCTGGAATGAGTACATATATCTTTAGTACATATATAATGGAATCAGTTTGTTAATTGATACATAAAGTTACTATATGGAATCAGTTTGATATATAAAGTTAAGAACATACATCTTTACTCTTTAGTACATTAGCACATATAACTTAAATATGTACATATATCTTTAGTAATTAGTACATATAAAGTTAAGATATATATCTATAGTACATATATAAAGTAATTAGTACTATATATGTATATTACAAGGCAGAGTACTATGACAGTATGAGTATTATATACATAGTAATATACTAAAAAATAAAAAAGCAGAGTACTATGACAGTATGAGTATTATATACAGTAATATACCTTGTTTACTGCTACGATGGAGAGCTGCGTATGCTTGAGATGATGAAGCTGAAAGAACCGGCTGGTGTAGAGCAGCTTGAGTATAGAGTGACGGAGTGAGGAAAGCGAGGAGAGCTGAAAGAACCGGCTGGTGCAGAGCAGCTTGAGTATAGCGGTTTTTACGTACTAACGGTACTATTAAGCTTAGTTTTACGTAGGTTACTTCAACCTATTGTTTTCATGGGCTGAGGACTATTAAGATATGGGCTTTTTTTTCAAAGTTTTAAACTAAAAAAGGGCTGTCAGCCTTTTCCGTTTAAGGCGACTGAGGCGCGCGCCTATAGCGCTTCCGCGCTTCGTGCGCTTCTAGCGCTTATGCTGCGCCTTGCCCAGGGTTGTGCGCTTCTACCTTACTCAGGCGCTGGGGGTCTGCCTCGCTGCGCTTTGTGCGCTTAAGCGCAGAAGCGAGCGCTTTTGACAACACTGAACATGATACTACAAGAGAGTACTACTACACCACACAACTTTTTGGATCTTAATGTGACCAATGTTAAAATTGATTTAATGCATCTTCTGTGTAGAGCTGCTGACCTTTTTTGGCTGAAATTTAATTCTATGAAAATAATAGTAGTTAGTATGTTTCTCCCCCATGCAGAAGCGTTACAGAATTACTTATGTGTTTAGCTTTTTCAGCGTTAAGCATAACATATACTACTTATTAATTATAATGGCCACGTAATAACTTCACTTATCTTGTGATGTAGGAATCCTTAAATGCAAAGCTTAATAGACCTAATGTTGATAGTCCATGGTTTGTGTTTGGCATTTCATATGCTGGAGCCCTGAGTGCCTGGTTTCGGTTAAAGTTCCCTCATCTTACTTGTGGAAGTATTGCAAGTTCTGCAGTAGTGCATGCTATTTACAACTTCACAGAATTTGATAATCAGGTGAAAAGAATTTCAGTATTAGCTTGTATATTCTGATTTGGATTTAGCAGATTGACTTTTCTCCTCCACGAGATATCAATGATAACTGTGCATTTTCTTGCTACAAATTTCTCTGCTTTCTTTGTTTTTGCTCATATCAGCACATTTCAGCTCAGTTTTCACTTTTCACACCTTGCTATTGTATGCTACTTGCATGAAGCTTACGATATGATGCAATGATGTAGCTCAAATTGATGCATGTGTGCTGTATGTCGCAAAGGGTTGACAAGCAGTTAGGAATTGATTGTGTGGGGTGACAAACAGTAGTTTCAAGCTATTTAGAGAAATAAAGCTAGGCCCTAGCCCCTAGGGAAAAAGTAGATATGAGATGTGATATGAACTAGTGAAAAGCAACAATTAACACTAAGTAAGCAAAACCAAATAAACTAAAAGTCCAACTTAACTGTCTGGCCGGTGCTAGGGCTTGTGGAAGCTACTACTGCGACCACGACCATGACAACCACCACACCACCACCAGGGTGTTTGGGGCCCTCATGATGGGGTGTCATTTTTTCCAAATAAACTAAAAGCAGCCACTAACACTGTGTTTATATTAGCACATATCACTTGAGTTTCCACAAGATGCTCTTTTATGATGAACTTCATTTGTAATTGGAACGGGGAACGAGGAGCGGGGTGGGAATATGTGGTTATGCTGAATTTTCCTGCTACAGGTTGGAGAATCTGCAGGTCCTGAATGTAAGAGTGTTTTGCAAGAAATTACTCAGCTCGTGGACAAAAGTCTTGCAATTAATAATGAAGAAACAAAAGCATTATTTGATGCTACTGAGGTACGGAGTATAAATTACACTACCCGTCCAAAATAATTGTCATTTTAGACAAAAAATATAATCCCAAAAAATTTATGTTGTTTAAGGAATTATAAACGTAATTTTTCTAATCTTCCAAAGTTGCCCATATATATAGGTTATCTTACCTTTCTTAACGGAACCCATTACCCATTGTTCTCTTCTATAGTTTGGAAATTTACTTGAAGTTTACTCCTTTACAGCTAAAAATTGATGGAGATTTCCTTTACTTTCTGGCCGATGCAGCAGCTACAGCAGTGAGTGGTCAAGAACTTATTTTGATTTTTATTGGTGTTTGCAATATTTGAGCTTTAGAAGCAATTACTATCTAGACAACTATTGCCAATTTTCAGTTTCAGTATGGAAATCCAGATATGCTCTGTGATTCTCTCATTAAAGCAAAGAAGGGTGGAGAAGATTTAGTGGTGAGCTCTAATTTGCGTGACATATTTGTTTTTTTTATTTTCTATATTGTGCAGAGCCATGTTTCTTGCATCTCATGAAGAATATGTCTGAACTACCTCTCTGTATATTGATTTTGTCTTTTTTCTTGCTTAGGGCTTTATTTAGAGATTTGTATTGTTGCAAATTACTCCATATAATTGTGTACATGTATATGCCAATCCATTCCACATTTAATTGACGATTGGGTGTTTCTCCTTGCAGAAAACATACGCCACATACGTGAAGGAAAATTATGTTGAGGGTTTTGGTGTTAGTGTTGCATCATACAATCAAGAACGTCTAAAGAACACTAGTAATGCTGATCGTATGTGGTTGTTCCAAGTTTGTACAGAGGTTGCATATTTCCAGGTGGCCCCAGCAAATGATAGTGTTCGCTCTTCAGGGGTTAATACAAGGCATGTTTTGTTTACTATTAACACCTTGATGTTAGGTACCTGGCTATTTCAAAGTGATTTCAAGAAGTAAAAGATGAAAGAAGGAAGATGTGCTTAACAATGGAAGTTGTCGTATAACAGAAAATGTAGAGAGAGAAATACAAAGGCAGTTTAAGAGTGCCCACTCTCCAAGTCCCAAGCCCAAATAACAATTCCAACCTCCTTTCTATTCTCCCTCACCCTCTATTTATACTAACTATTCTAATATTATTATTATTCTTATTATCAGTGCTATTCTACCAGAGTCCTATCATATCTCCCCCTTGAACATCCACCTTGTCCTCAAGGTGGGTGATAGGAAACCGACCTGACCTTCAACTTTATCTTCATCCTGGCGCCTCTCCCTTCCCAGTACCTAACTGATTGTGGGACCATGAACTTCATTGCCTGGAGAACACACTGATTGTTGGGATCTTTGTAATTGTTTTGATCTTTGTCTTCAGTTTCCTTCTTTGGATGTACTGGCTGGCCTAGTTCTATTAAGCACAAAGCAAGTTCTTCCCTATTTTCACATGAGGGTTCACCTTCCCATTTCTCAGTATTTTGATGAATACCCAAAGATGCCTGGCAGCTTACAAACACCACAACCAATTTAGATCCTGCTGCCATGTACTGCCGGATGCATACTGGGGAATTGGCAAGCGAAGAGAGAACTGCACATTGATACCCATCAACACTTGGGAAAAAGGAAACTTCAGTGTTGGGTTCATTGATCAAGTATGTTGTTTTCTCTGGGCCAGAGCTAAGCCTGTAATAGTAAAATTGGCAAGATTCTTTACCAATAACAACACTCAAAGAATTAGTGGCAGAATCTAGAGCTGTTATTGCTGCACTAATACTAAGGCTGTCCATACCATTCACACTATTTCTACAAAGTGACATGTGAGCCATGTGAATTTTTCTTTCAACAATGCTACCCGGATCAAATTCATCATCCCATCTTAATCTGGAATCAAAGAAGTCCCAATTTACAGAAAGTACCCCTTTGCACCCTTCAACCCCAAGAATCAAAATCTGGTCATGACTTTCAACAATATCAATGCACCTCTCCATCCATCTCCTATTACTAATTGCTCTCAACATACTGTCACATTCTTGATCCTTATCTCTTTTCCTGAGAACGTTGAGTCGTGGACCAGCACTTGCCATATGAAATCTGTAATCAAAATCTAAACCTCTATCTTGAACAATTATACAAACTAATGGCAGTCCCATAACCACTTCACCAACTTTAATGGCCTCAGAGGAATGACCAAGAGTGAGATCTTTAACAAACATCAGATACATGACAACTTCAACACCGGTAACATATCTCTCATATTCTGTAGTATTCCCAGTAATTCCTCCTTCCAACCCATTTTGAGTATCCATCATAGAAGTAACACCCTCATATATGAAACTATCAAACTTGTTCAATGACTTCAGCCCTTCCAAAGTAATGTTTAATGAATGATAGTACACCATTTCAGACTTTAAAACATTAGGCCAGTTCATCTCCTGTACGAACCTAGAAGTCATCTTGGACTTTGCCACACAAGCATCAGTGTCACATGTGTGTAGAATCTTGAAAATATTGGTTTCCGAATCTGACTTGACAGACTTGTATTTGAGAAAATGAGCAATTGTGCCAACTTCCGGTCCAATGTTCACTGACAATTTTTCCGCGCTTCCCTCATCACCCTCAGTGACTTTCACTGCCCTAGGCGATGAAGAATAAGCTCGCGAAGAAGTCTGAGAACTGGAAACATCTACTCCAGATGAAGCTTGCAAACTGTGTAAAAATGTTGGCGAGGAATCCTGCGAAAAACTGAGTGTAGCTGTTTGTGAGGAAGATGGTGAACAGTAAGAATCAACGGGTGATGAATATGAGTGGTAAAGATCGGCGAGTGAGGAATCCATCGAACATGGAAATTCTCCTATCGATTGCGTCGCATTTTGACGGGAAATGAGAGCTGATGAAGGATTCTGGGAAAAAATCTGCGAAGAAACCTGCGAACTGGGAGGAACTGTTCGCATCTGCGAACGGGAAGGAACTGTTCGCAACTGTGAACTGGGCTCTAGTGCTTGCGACGATGCGGACGGACTGCGAGAAGAAGTTTGCGACCAATCCTGCGAACTCAAAGAAACGGTTCACGACTGCGAACTGTGAGACGAAGTTCGCGACTTACCTCTGGCTTCAGACGATGTAGGACTCTCATGTACAGTGTGACGCCTTGAAGTTCTTGATTTTCTTCGTTCATGTCGAGCGTTCTGCTGCAGGATCAATTCGCGCCATTCCGCCATCTCTTTCCGCCTTTCCTCGCGATAGCGTTCAAAATTGCGTTCCAGGATCTCCAGTCTACTTTCCATCGTTCCTTGAGTAGCTGACGCTCTGATACCAATGTTAGGTAGCTGGCTATTTCAAAGTGATTTCAAGAAGTAAAAGATGAAAGAAGGAAGATGTGCTTAACATTGGAAGTTGTCGTACAACAGAAAATGTAGAGAGAGAAATACAAAGGCAGTTTAAGAGTGCCCACTCTCCAAGTCCCAAGCCCAAATAACAATTCCAACCTCCTTTCTATTCTCCCTCACCCTCTATTTATACTAACTATTCTAATATTATTATTATTCTTATTATCAGTGCTATTCTACCGGAGTCCTATCACTTGATATTGGTGTTTTTTTGTTGAATGCTGAGTGAGTAAATTCTACTTATTTATTGGTTTATTACGAGTTATTTCCCTTGACAGGAGTAAAACATGAAAAAAGTTCACAAATAGGAGGTCAAGGTTTGATTGATACAAGCAAAAAAGTATATGGCTTGACCAAACCATTCTTAATGAAATGTCAAGTATATTTATATTTATATTTAAAAGGAGAAAAATAAATTATATAGAATTTCACCTATTTAAAAAGCACATCGTCGGATTCACACCACGTCGTCGGAGTCACGGTGCAATTCCGGAATAGAAGATCGGCTCTTCGCCGGGTTGGCTGTGCAGCAGAGAGGACGGATGAAGAAGAGATGCAAGAGTAGAGAGTCGAGAGGAGAGAATTGGGAAGAGAGAGGGGAGAGGGGAGAGAAGAGAAAACAAATTGGAGGGTGTTGGTGTGTGAGAGAAGGGAGGTACTCTTATTTTGGGATAAAAAACATAGGGTATTATTTTAGCATTAATCTTATGTTTTACTCCTGTCATATGCAATTACTCGTTTATTACTTCTCCATTCCATAAGTTTCTTCTCACTTTTCCTTTTGGGATGTATGAGAAATTTCTTCGCATTTCTTTATAAGGAAATAAATGTGGGGATGATTTTTTTCTCCTTTTTAATCAACCAGTACCATAAACTTTGAAACTGTCAATAAGCGTGCCAAGTGAAATTAGGAAGAAAATTGCAGGATAAAGGAATTTTTTTGCACATTTACATCTAACAACAACGACAACAACAACAACGTTACCCCAGTGATGCAAAGGTTCCCACCTACGGTGGCGTAAGGGGTCGGATATACGCAGTCTTACCCCTGTACTAAAGCATAGAGAGACTCTTTCTCGATGACCCATGATGAAAATCGCGTCAAAAATTGCATGGACTGACTGCTGCTTCATAGCAAAAAAGCGCAGACAGTTTAGTGAGTCATTTTGTTTTATTCCATATTTCCATCATATTCTCAAGCCAAAAAATAGTGAGTCGTTGACTCCATTGGAAATGATAGATACATTTACATTTGACAGTGATATAAATTCTATACGTGATAGATCAAACATGATACACAATTCATTTTATGCAGCTACCATTTGAACCTCTGCAAGAATGGCTTTGGGAATGGTATCTATCCTGATGTTGATGGGACCAATTTGTACTATGGTGGCAAAAAAATTGCTGGTACTTCACATTTTTAGTTATTTTTATTAGATTGTTGATACTTATATAAGCAGATTCTTATTCTAGGCTGTAAATTTATGTTTGGCAGGTTCAAAGATAGTCTTCGCAAATGGATCACAAGATCCATGGCGACACGCATCTAAACAGACTTCATCTCCTGACAGTGAGTATCTGGTAACACATCACTGGGGGATAAATAATATGATCCTAAAATGAAAAAATGATGGTTGAAATGGTCAATTATATGTTAACTTTTTATAAAATCTCATGATATCTATATCAAGATAAATCATTTTCCTTGAAAGCCTTCTATCTAAACAGGACCTTTGGGAATTAATATCAAACTTGCAAGTGACTAAAGTTACGGAACTAATAATGAAAACAACTAAAAGTTATGGGACTAAAATTACAAGTCTCCTCGCCGTTTTATTATCCTTTAGTTTGGAAGGTTTATTGATCGAGTTATTTACTGAAGCCCTCATTTTCAATATTCAGTGCCTTCTTACATAATCGCGTGTCATAACTGTGGCCATGGAACTGATATGCGCGGTTGCCCCCAGTCTCCTTTAGTCCCTGAAGGTATGTCAGCATATTCCCATGCTTGCTAGATAACAGTTTTGTTAAAATATACCGGAAAAATGAATATGGGAATATTCTTATAACACTTCCCACCCCAGGTGATGCCAAGAATTGCAGCTCTTATGATGAAGTGCTCAAAGTAAGAAACGAGATGATGAAGCACATGGACCTTTGGTTGTCTCAATGCTAAGTTCTTTCAATATAATAAGTACGATGTGTTTTAACTCTGAAGTGTTTGTTATTCTGTCACTCTTCCAACGTCTAAGTTCGTTGTAACCTTTTGCAAACAGATGTTTAATTGATCATCCATGTGGAAAGGGTGCATCTATATGATACCAATAATGTTTTACTTTTTCTTGTAATGTTTCAGTGAAGACTCGTTTTGCTCTTATTGGTCTTCTTGTTCTTGCTATTGTTGTTATTGTTGTTGTTTTTTACCCAGAAGTTGAGGATTCCTTCAAAGTCAGTGGAGTAAGAGCTTAGAACTCTGACTTAGTTTTATTAAAATGTTTTATGTTTTATTAAAAGAGAGTACAAAGTGTTAATGAAAGAAGAAAACTAATTAATAGTGAAAAGCAACCCCTTTTTAATGTATAGATAAAAACTAAAGAAAAGAAAATGAAACTAGTTAACATGAGAAATCACAAATTGGAACTTGGAAACCTCCCGAAATAGCCACGAATTGAAAGCACATTTCTCCCAGAACTTACGAGAGAGCCTGAGTTGTCTCAAACAATTAACACAGCATATCTATCTTCCAAAGCAACCCCAAAAACTTAGACTCCACTCAAAAGTATGAGCATTGTTTTAAGAAAAAAACTAATGTAGTTTCAGACTCATTAGCGTTTATACGTGCACTCTTCCTCCTGAGTATAGGAGTTTTTATCTATGATAAATAGTTAAATTAAGTTATGATCAGTGAGAAATCTTCTTAAAGGAGTACTTTCAATCTCCTAACCTGACGAATCTGAAGCACTGGAATCTGAAACGTCAGAGTGTGACGAAAGAAGCTCGTCCTCAATGGATTCAGAAGCTCGTCATTTTACAGATTGTAGAAATTTTATACTTTTAATACGATTAAATAAGTCATAATTTAAATAACTCATGTTTTAGGAATAAAATACAACTAACTACTCCTATCACTTTATTCATGTTATAGTCACAACACATAAGCAATTATTTTACAAGTATCACATTAAAAGTAAAAATACAACATCACCTCAAAATATTCAAAATGGAGGCAAATGGACAAAATATTTTGGTTTGACTCTGACTATTGCAATTCTGTTTCAAATATTTCGAACAATAAACAAAAAAAAAATGGACCTGAAATACGGATAAAAACATATTACTCATAAGTCACCACATACATAAAGAATGTAATAAAATTTTACATGTTTCTATACACACAACCTATTTTGCTTGTACACAGATAATTCATTTAAAATGCGGAAATTTTGGCATTTGTCCTTGTACGGAGCGTGTTCACAAACCTGTATACCAAGAATTGTCCAAGACAATTGTTGGGTCTTATTGTATTGCTCTTGTTATGGGCTTATGGTTGTCGCCCATAATTGTCCAAGACAACTCATCTCACACTAGGGTTGGATTCGGTTCGGGCCACCCGGCCCGTGACCCGGCCCGGCCCGGTACTGTGCGGGCCCGGGACCGGCCCGGTCGGGCGGTCCGGGACCGGGTATGGGCCCGAACCGGGGGGAAGGGGCGGGGCGGGCTCGGTTCAGCATTTTTGTGATCCGGCCCGGGTCCGGGTCTATTTTAAAAAAAAAAAAACTTTTTTTTTGTTTTTTGGCTACTAGCCGTTGAGGCCTTGGGGGTGGGGGTGGGGACAACCCAAACGGCTATATAGCCGTTGGGTGGGGTAAAGGGGGGTCCGGGGGGGGGGGGGTTGGCTGGTAGGGGGTGGGGGGGTGGGGGGTAAAAAAACCTATAAATACTCCTACTCTTAAACATTTTTTCATATCTCTTCTCCAATTCTTCCTAAATCCTATTCTTAACTCTCTACTCTCTAATTCTCTTATTCTCCAATATATTATATATCTACTCTCTAATTCTCTTCTCCAAGAAGTTAAGATGGAAAATCAAGATGCCATTATACGGTATAATTTTGATAAGCAGAAGGACCCGAAGACCGAGATGTGGTACGCAATTTGCAAATGGTGCGAAAAAAAATGTATCATGGGGGCTTCAGGCGGATTCGGGATGGCAATCAAGCATATGAAGTCATGTGACAAAGCCAAAGGATCGGGAGGTGCGGGAAGTTCCGATTGATTACAATTTTCAAAATGTTTATCTCTTAAAGTTTGTTTTAATTTTCAAATGTAGTTCCTATTTCATTTCAAATAAATGCAATTGAAGTTTGTTTTTAATACTCGTATAAAACTATAAACTATAAAATATAAATTATAAAAAAAAATTAACCGACCCGGCCCGAACCGGACCCGACCCGTGACCCGGGCGGGTGGCCCGGCCTGAACCGGACCCGTCCAACCCTCGGGCCGGTCCCGGGCCCACTTTTCTTGAACCGGCGGCCCGAGCGGGCCTAGGCCCGGCCCGGACCCGACCCGGCCCGAATCCATCCCTATCTCACACCAATTAGAAAACGAAAACCAGCATACATCGTTTTTTTAGAAAAAAAAAATGGGCATACAATAATGCTTTGGTTATTTATTCTTTTCTATGAGTTTGACATTTTTGTGTCTAATGTTGTAATTTAGTAGATATAAGATCGAAAGAAGACTAAAATTAGAATTTATATAAACCCGTTAACCAAAAAGGAAATTACTCAAATGAGGCTTCTAAATAATTCTCCACCACCTCTATCATCCAATTACTGGGTCTACTCAAATAAAATCTCACACATATCCCTGCATCTTCCATGTTCGGCAATTATTACTTCTCTCCTACCAGTAGTGATGGACCCGGGCCGGTCCGGTTCCGGGCCGGGCCCAGGCGGGCTTTTTTTGCAAATCCTTGGTCCCGGAACCGGCCCGGGTTGATACCGGGTCCGGGCCTAACTGGGCCGGGGCCGGTTCAATGTCTATTTTTTTTTTGCTTTCTTGTTATCCCTTTGGTCCATTGATCCAAATCTCTCACCACTCAACCAACTGAGCTACCCGTGCGGGTAGCTTTATCCTATACATACCCGTGGACAATAACGTGGCTACTAGCTAGTGGTTGTCTTTCTCTTTCCGCTGGGTAACACTTTGTTTTTCCATCCGGATATATATACTTTGTATATAGATAGATGTTACATTCATGTAGGGTTAGAGCAATACTTATATATCCCCTTATAGCCATCCGGATAGTGAAGCTCAATGTGATGTTAGCATATGCACTTTTAAAAAGAAGAGCTTCTGCACGCACAATAATTAATGAAACAAAAAAAATCCCCATAATTTCTGCTGGCTACATTCCAGTGAATGAATAGACAATGAAAACTAATCATATGAGGCTAAAAAATTAATAATGGCCGCTAAACATTCATAAAAAGGACAACATGATCTCAATAAAATAGTCAAATGGTGGAGTGATGTGTACACATTGCATAACTTCAACTCTGCTTTGAACACCAGAAGTACTCAGCCAGTCATACCCCTTTAGCTTACAAAATCGGGTGATGGCAGGTTATATGAGATATGTTGAAGCAACCCACAACAGGAAATAGGTTATGAGAGAAGTTGTAACCTCCAAACTCCTGGGTCCTTTAAGTATAGGTGGTACCAAAGATACCATCAAGAATGTCCCTAGCAGCCACGAGAAAATAAATCCACCAACTCTGCAAACCAAAAGGGGAATTCACAAACCAAAACAGGATGAGGGGATATAGTATAATACAAGTACTACGGGATCAAGGAAAAAACATTTGACAACTTCATGATTCACAACTTCAATATAGAATGAAGCATTTGAAATTATACTTGCGATAATGTTAACTGATGTAAAAGTCCACACATGCACGCTGGGCTGTCTTTGAGGCTTGGGGTCATCAATTTCTTTCAGTTTGGCCCCACCATTTAAGACTGGTGGATCTATCATAAAAGTCAGCCTAAGTCATTCTGAATTTCTGATAGGATACAATGAGTAGTCCAAAACAGCATACCTTAATTTGTTTTTATTAATTTGTGTGGCATGTCACTTAACATGTCCTGCAAGATGGACTATGCTCATTGGAACAAATACATTATATGTTTGTTTATATTACATTAATGTGATAGGAGATAGACTTAACATGTCTTGAGAGATGATAACTCATTGAGCCAAGCCAACCTTGAAGTCTTCTCATTTCTTAAACAATTTTTGGCTTACCAAGATTGAAACAATTATTTTGATTTAATAGGCTTCAACACCATATAAAGACTTGATATTTATTATAAATGATCAATCTCATACCGCTTAATTCTACTTAGATCTAGATTAACCAAGATTAATCCTCAATTATGCATATACACCCAGACAGGTTCAGAAAATTAAATATTTACACGGATTCAGCACGAAGTGTGAGATAAGTAGCATACCCATAAAGAAAAGCTCTAAGTTTGCTCCTTAGACGGGCATGAATGAAATACAAGGTGGTGATAAGAGAAATGGCAACTTGAAGAGTTGGGCCTTCTTCAGTCGGAAACAGGACCGTCATGGCTCCAATTAGAACGAAAGCAATGGATGTTTTTATCAAGAAAGATGTAGCCGGAGTGCGGAACCTGCTTGCAACTACCTGAACCGCCTTGGATTGGGTAAATTCTTTCACCTTTTTCTTAATATTTATTTTTGGGTTCTTCCTTTCATAAAATTTCTGCATGATTATCTTATCATGAGCCGATTCGATCGAATCCACACTTGGTTTATGACTAGCATATTTTTTTATTAGGAAGTTTCTGGCGGACTGGATTTCTTCTTCAGAAGCCTCCCTACTGATTCCAAGTCGTTTATATGGATCCGTTATGTTGATCCTAGGAAAGTGAGCTACAATCAACAAGATTAAAGGGAAAAGCTTTATATAGTGTGTATTAATAACCAACAGGAAAAACTAATTTAGAACAAACTCCAATGCGGTTGCAACTTCTGCATTTAAAACAATAGGCGGTTGAGAGTGGCAACTCATATCTAAAGACTTGAGTGCTATCCATCAAAAGTTCAACACTCATTTCATCAACAAATGAGAAACTAAAAATAGTAATAATGTCTGAAATTAGACTCTATTCGGGAGCCTCAGATGTCTTATTTGTTATGGTCTGATTTGAAAGATAAGCATTCAATTAGTATTTGGAGTTTGAAATTCCAAAATAGGACTACTATGTTTTTATTCCCGAAATAGGACTAACATGACAATATTTACTGTCATCTTGTAGGCGTGACTGCCAAATAGTTGCAGTACAGTACATTTAACATGACAGTATTCATTATAATTAATGACAGTATTTTTTA